GGATGCCTTTCTCCGAACTGGGCCTGCCAGGATTATTTTTTGGTGGCTCTTTTTCTGAATTGGACTTAGCAGGGGTCTGTCCTGGGGTCTCTTTTCCTGAATTGGCCTTGTCAGAACTATCTCCTGGGGTCTCTTTTCCTGTATTGGCCTTGTCAGAACTATCTCCTGGGGTCTCTTTTTCTGAATTGGCCTTGTCAGAACTATCTCCTGGGGTCTCTTTTTCTGAATTGGCCTTCTCAGAAGGATCTCCTGCGGTCTCTTTTCCTGAACTGGACTTGTCAGAATTAACTCCTGCGGCCTCTTTTTTTTCAGAACTGGACTTGCCAGGGGTTTGTTCTTGGGTCTCTTTTTCCGAACTGGGTTTGCCAGGTTTATCTTTTGGGATCAAATTTTCCAGTTTAGATGGCAGAGAAGGTCTGCTGGAGTCATCCTTCTTAGGAGTTACTGATGTTGGGTTCTTGGTATTGCTCTTGTCAGAGTTTGGATTTGCAGCAGATTTTGAAGACTCTTCAACAGACCGGACTTCTGAAAAAGAGGAATCAGACTGTTCTGGAGACCATGGCAACGGACGGGCAGGGGTGGGGGGAGTTGACGCCACACGGAAGCAGGGGTCGGACAGGGAAGAAGCAAGCTCAGACGGCGACTGGCCGAGGTGAGGGCGAAGAACCAGGAGAGAGGGGGATATGGGTGGGGCCAGAGGGTCTTACCAAAGGCGGCGAAGCTCAGTATAACCAAGCCTACCAGGAACCGCATCCTGCACGAACTGAGCTTCCGCACTCTCCTCTATGGCTATCGCGAGATCGCATGAGAGGCGCTGGGTGTAACCTCGCAGGCCCGCCCCTCCAAAGTGCGTGTACGTGCGTGCGTGCGTTCCCTCGGCCCTGCGGCCCTGATACGGGGAGTGAGGGCTCTTAGGCTTAGCTTTTCTGCTGCGGTTCTGGCACTTTTTTTAGTGTGGCCAGTGGACGACGCGTTCCCTATCTCCTTTCCCCCCACCCATAACAGTCGCCACAAACTCGTCCTCTTTCCCTCTTCCTCTAACCCATTGACTTCTTTCCATCTTCTATTAGCATTTTGATCTCTCCCATCTAGAAACAAACCCTTACCATCTCGAAGGTGGAAGGAAATACAGAATTGCGGCTTTCCCCCACCCCTGCCCCCAAGTGGTCAAAGGTCTTCTTAAAATAACGAGGGTTTTTCGCTTGTTGTTTTTTTTTAACCCTCGAGTTGGATCCGACTTGTGGATTCGAACCGCACGCCTCTGCGTTTGCAGCATCTTGCTGCGCAGCTTCTTGACACTTGGCCATCAGCGCTTCCTGTGGGGTGTGTTTGTGTTTTAAATCAGCAAACTTATATTTACTGTAAACCAAGTAAGTAGAAAACCTTTCCCTCTCCTTTCAAAACAGTCACTTCTAACGTTTTGTTGTATTTGTTGTTTTGCAAAATTTAAATCTTACTGGTTAGGTAATACATTCTAATGGCAGAGATTTTAAAAAGGATGTAGTACACAGTTCTTGCTTTTCTATCCCTTCACAAGCTATTTATTATATTGGGATAGTTTTGGGAGCGATTATGAAATGGGAATGCTCTGCTTCTATCTTCTTTTTCTATGCATATTCGTTTTCTGGCCAAATTGAGACCATTGAATAATTTTCTGTTGCTGGAGAAGAGTGTTGAATATACATACCATGGAGTGCCAGGAGAATGAACAGGTTTGTCCGCGAGAGGATGAAACCAGGCTGCTCCTTTGAGGCAAGGATTGTGAAGCTTCATCTGACATACTTGGACATGTTGCAAGGAGGGACCAGGCATTGGAGAGGGACATCATGTTTGGGAGTAGGGGGACAGAAAAAGAGAGGAAGACCCTTGATTCAGTATATTCAGGGTAATGAGGGTAGGTGTGTCAGAGACAGTAAAGTTGGAAAAGGATAGAGCATGTACATAAGGTCTGTATGACTCGAGGGCATATAACAACAAACAAGTGTTTGGTTACCATTCATTAAATGTGGATTATTTGAACACTTTTTATGAACAGTTACTAGAGTAAGAGCTTTGTCCAAAAGTAGGGACAGTAAATTTCATAAGGGGAAGGCTTTCTTGGAAAAGTGAAGTCAGAGTCAGAGTCTAAACCACAACCATCTGATGCCACAGTGAGTATACAATAGGTATAAGCACAGTGGCAATTGTGAAGATGGTGCAGAATTGGGCAAAGTCTCCATCTGTTTGTATATAATGTTACATGACGTGGAGTTGGAACCCACTCATCGCTGACCCTTTGGTGGGTTTTCAGAGACAGTAAAATCTTAAGGACATTGACCATCTTTTTCCAACAGGGCAGCTGGTGGATTCAAAGCATGTGCCTTTGGGATTGGAGCATACCTTCTCAGTGCTAGTAGAACACACAGATGGAAATCATATTGTCTACACAGATACATGTCTTTGAAAGCAAGACATACCATAAATGCCAAGGAAGGAAAGTCCAGGAGAAAAATCAGTAGGCACCTTTGACTTCAGGATCTTTTGGGGGTTTTTTAAAAACTACCCAAGTGTTCAAGAATGTTAGTTTCCATGTGTTTGATTTCCCCCTTGATTTCCTTGTTGTTAATTAATTTCGAAGTCTATTATCTGAGGAGACACTTATAGTATTTCATTAATTTACTGAGGCTTGCTTTGTGACCTAATAACATATGGTCTCTTTTTAAGAATGTTCTGTGTGTCCTGGAGATGATTAAGTGTTGTGCTCTTTTTTGTGTAAATGGGCATGTTTTATGTTGTATATTACCTCTAAAGGATTTATCAAAAGAATGTCATTGTACTGTTAAATATGCAAAGGTATGTGTAGGTAAGTTATAAATCATTCAAATTGCCTTTTCACTTTTTTGTTCAATTTTGACCATGCAGCCCTGATTTCACAGACCCTAGCCATCTGGAGCTAGGTCAGATCTCACAAAAGAAGACATAGACCTTCAGACTGCCAACCTGTCCCAGGACTTCAGGTGCTGTCTCTAAGCTTGGGAGTCACAAAACAGTCTTTTGCCTTGCTGGGTACAAACTCAAGAGTTTACCCAAAACCTGCCATTAGGATGCTCCCTTATCACTCTCATTTCTGATCTGGCTACAATTTAGGGATTCCCTCTATCACATGAAAACATGAGTTCTAATTTCAGAGGTTCCAGACTCCTCACTTTTGACCTACAAGCTCCCCACTACTTGTTCAATAATTCACTTTGACAACTCAGCAGAAGTTATGATTCTATTCTTATGATTACAAGCTTGTTATAGCAAAAAAAATGATATTTACGAAGGGATGTATAGTCAGGCAATAAAGGTTCTTAACATTAAGTTTCCACTTATAAAGGGTATCCTGCTGACCATCAATATTTTTATCCAGCTAGGAAGTTCATGGTGCTGGTGTCCAGAGCTTTTGCTGAGGCTGTAATGCAGACTGTATAATACAGACTATCAGATTTCCCTGGGGTCATTCTATGTTGCAGACATCAGAAAGGTACACAGTGGTTCTTTCTGCCTCTGTCCCAGTCACCTCATTCTGGTTCCTAGATATGGTCTGGAGCCTTACTCAAGACATTTTAAGTTCCAAGGACTGTCTCAGGAACTGAGAACCAACACAAAATTATTTGGACAAATATAAACCCCACTATGTTCCTTAGATCTTTGCAATTACAAATATGTCAGAAAATGTTAAGTCTTCAGTTGACAAGAAAATCAGACCAGCTGGAAAATAAGAGAACACTCTTGCTTTCTGATATTACTCAGCAGTATTTGGTTCATACACTTTCAAGGCAGTGAATTTCCCCCAGTATTATCAGGTGTGTACAGTACAGCCCACTACAATCAGTTCTAATTCTCTTGGGCATGTATGCAAAATTTAGCACAGGGCCTGCTGCGAAGAAGGTGGCTTCAGTTAACAAATGCTGCTGTAATGTACTGTGGAGCTGGAAACCCCAGGGGGTTTTCAGACATTGAAAATCACACAGGAGGAGACTGATCATCTTCCTCCTGTGGGGATCCAAACCACCTGCCTTTTGTTTGGCAGTGCAACTCTTTAACACTAAGCCCCAAAACTCCCAGAATCAACAAAAGGACTAAGAAATGCTCAGAAAAGGTCTTGCAACTGCAATTTTATTTTCTTTTGTGAAAATAAACAACTGGGAGTTTAAATTGCTCCAAAACCCAAAAAAAAAGTCATAAAAACAAACAAACAAAAAATACATAGAGGAAGCATGTGAGGTGCAGAGGGGAAGGGAAGAGTGTCTCAGAACTTTGGCAGATTGTGCTAGCACTGGCCCCGGGTACTGAAGCCAGGTCCTGTCTGCCACCAGGGGACCGTGAGGGGTAAATCCTGTGTGGGGAGGACAGAGTGGATGTCGTCACTTAGATAGTGGCAGGCACCTTTAAGCGTAGGGTTCCATTTCAGAAGGCCTCTTTTCCTCCCGTTGAGGAAAACAGCTGGTGAATGCAGATCAGGCCAAGAGGTCTTCTCATGTTGTGTGGGCCTTTGACTGGGCAGAGGACAAAGGGGACAGGGCATGGTGCTAACGGAGAAAACCGTGGGCTGAGTAACAGGAAATGCTCATGAATGGGATGTAAATGAGGGGAAAGGGTCCAGGTGATATATGCAGACTGAGGTGAGGCAGGCAGGGGGAAGACGAGAAGCAGAAGGGCAGAACACAGAGGAGGTAGAGAAAGGTTTCTTCGGCCCAGGTCCACCCACCAGAACACACGCCAGCATTTGCGTGACTAATCACGACTCCACAGAATAGAGTGGAACAGCTCTGTGGAGTTCCGGAGGCTGGAATCTGGATGGAAGTAGATTGCCACATCTTTCTTCCCTGGAGCAACCGGTGGGTTGAAAAGGTTCTTTCTGGTTAGCAACGGAGCGCTGCAGCCATGATACCACCAGAGCTCTTAATAGCACGTACACACTACCTTTCCATTCTATTTAAAGATCTTTTTTTTTTTTTTTTTTTTAAAAAGCCTTAAGATCAGCTATTGGTAACATCTACAAAATGTAAAGTACTGTCATTACCAGTCACTTTACAGAACAGTCCAGAGTGGTCAAATATTGACCAATAAAGTTTCCATTGTTTTCTTCTGAATCATTCTTACTCGATGAGTCACTTGACAACCTGAATCGGTCCGGGGCAGCCTAGTGGGCAGACTTGGTGACCAAGGAAAGAGGCTGGGCTTGGAGCACTGGGAGGGCCTGGGGGGCATGGAGTGTGGCTGGGAAGGAGGGGGGAGAGGTCAACAGAGCTGTGGGCATAGAGCCCAGGGGCAGGGGCCGGGACAGCAGGGGAGGCTGGCTGCCCACTTGGCTGGAGGAAGCAGCTGCAGCCTTGGCTGACAGGAAGGCAGCCGAGTGGAGAGCCAGCTGGGCACGGGTCTCTGGTTTGGTGGTGAGAGACAGAGGCTGCGCTTGCTCCGAGTGGGTGGCAGCAGGAGCAGCTGGTGAGGCCAAGGCAGCAGAGGGGGTGGCCGGGGAGTCTAACATGCTGCCATGAGAGGAGGCAGGGCTGTCACAGGGCTTCTCGGGAGGCAAGTACTGAACACACGGCTTCTTGCTCTTGGAGGCCAAGGTACCTAGGAGAAATGGTAGAGGAAGAGTGGGTGATGTGGCTTGGTGGTACTGAGGAAGAGGCCTGCCTAAGGATGGAGCAGCAGCCACACAAGTTCCAGCCTGTCCCTCCTGGGGACTCCTGTCCTGACAACACATGCAGAGCAGAACACAGCCAGAGCCAGCCCACTTACAGAGTGGTGAGAAGGTCACATACAGTAGTGGTAGTTTTGAGACCTTATGTTTGGGGATGGTTTATTATGTAGTAACAGGTTAAACTTAGGTTCTAATATTTGCATAAAATAACACAAACCCGACTACACCTGGTTACAGTGTTACATCTTCCCACTGCCACTGGCATGCTCCCTCAGCAAGTGTCAGCTGCTGACTCGCTTCTCTCCATTCCTGTGTCTCCACCCAGAGCTTGCCGAGGTCTTGCAGCAGCTGCCAGCCTCCCCTGAGCTCCAGGCAGTGCTCAGCTACATCTTCCCTACTTATGGTGGGGACCGGCCCTAACCCTGGGAAGCTTTTGTTTGGGGGGGGGTGATGGTGTTACATCTACTTGAACTGCAGAGACATGGTTTTGCAAATCATCAACAGTTGTTGGTAAGAGAGTGCTTCCCACACTGAGTAGCAAGGCTTGCGAAGAATGGAGCAAGACCTTTGTGAGAATAAGACGCTGAGGATGGTGGTGGAGAGACTGGAATTGCTGTGGAGAAACTGTGGCAAGGTGTAACCAGAGGAGCCTTGAGATAAAGGGTGCAGTTAAAGGTTTTGCTATTCTTATAGATAAATGAAGTTCTGACCACTGAACTGAAACCACAGACTTAACTGCTCTAAGACAAACCTTGCTGGATGATTTGGATTTGATTGCTGAACTGAAACTATAACTTTTACTAATTAAGGAGTTGTGTTTTGTTGTTAATCTGGCTTGAGACTGTTGGACTAGAGCTAAACCTAGACTTATATTGTGAGATATTCTTTGCCTCCTTCACCTTCCAACTTATTTCCTTAAAAAACTCCATTCTTGGTACCACAACTGTGAGTAAAGTCTGTGAGTGCAGGTTTGGCTCTAGAAGCACCATGGGGCTGGGCTACGGGCTCTTTATCTGCTTTCTACTCTGAAGTAGTGAGGGGCTGTGCTATTCTCTCTGGCACGTTCAGAGATGTTCATGGACCTGTGTCCCCATGTCCTGCCTTTAAGTACATGGCTATATCCGCCGTGTTCAGGCAATCCAGAAATGCATAAGAGAAGAAACACCATAAGGAAGGTACCTGAGAATCTCCAGTTACTTCTAAGGCTTTTAAGATGAGGAAACTGGCTTCACAGCACAACTAGAGCGTGAAGAAGTGGAAATGCTAAAACTAACAAAGATTTCCTCAGTATCTAATTTGCCAAGAAGCAGCTCAGCCTGTCTAGTCCTCCTCCTCTTTTCCCACAGGCAGGCTTCAACTTTTGAAATGCTTCAAACTCTGTGGGTTTTGATGCAGTGAGAGACAGTGAGCAACAATGAGTGTACTCAGGGCACAGGGTACACAGTGGGTTTTGCAATGTATATGCAGTTTATGTCACAGCCCTGTGTGGCAGAGTTTGCAGGGAGTTCCGATACCTCTGAGGACATGCTTCTCTTGCAGGTCAAAGCCACCAGTGGCTCCCTAGGAGAAGGATCTTCCTGATGGAGTTACAGTTTCATTTATGCAATAAAGAGTGAGCTAGGAGAAGGTTCTGATTCAGTGGCATTGAGAAAGATACTGATGTAAAAATGTATAGAGTATGCAGTGCTGGCAAAAGTGACTCCAAAACTAGGATGATTTCTTGCTGTTCAAAGAAAAATTGGAGGAAAATGGAGGTTGCTGGACTCATTGAAATGTCCAATAATGTGCTACCTTTCCAAGGAAATGCCAAGGAGAATTCCAGCAATATTCGGTTTTTTACCTTTGATAACAGAAGATGATCCTCAGTAAGAATAAGAAGTGACATGATGTTGACATGACAAAACTCTGGATCCAATCCCACCTCAACTACCTAATATTGAGAGTGACCACAAAAACTCTTAAAAACATTTGGAGCCCCTACATGGTCCTTTCTAATATTAGCACCAAATTGCGAAGCGTGCGGAGAGGCAAAGGCCCTGAAAACAGTGACACACACAGGCTGTTGTCACTGTGCTGGCAAGAAACATAGGAGATGAAGCAGTGCCCTCTGAGAGACTCACCCTCTGCCTCCTGGACTTGCTGCTGTGACTGTGTATGTGAAAGTTGCTTTTCTCTCTTCCTCTTCTTTTTCTTACCCTAATAATAAATACACAGAGAGGTAATATCAGGGATGCCTTCTCACAGGGCCATTCTGCTATGAAAGGGAGATGATAACATGGTGCTTACATGTGGGAGCACCCTGCCCTGGTGAGGGCGATACAAGAGCCCACACGTACCAGCACCGTCCCCTGGTGAGGGCGATTGCGATGTAGGAGATCCCCAAGCACCAGCACCCTCCCCTGTTGACATGAAGATAGTAGCCCTCAGTGTCCTGCACTAGTGAGGGCGATGTGAGCTCAAGGGGATCCCTGCAGGAGCCCCCAGGCACCAGCATCCTGTCCTGGTGAGGGTGATGTGAGTGTCAGGAGAAGGCAGTGGGAGACCTTACGATCGGTTCCACTCTAGCATTATGGATGTCCAGATGTCCCCATAGGCCCCTTCTAAAACTCCCTAGGACTGTTTGAGTCTCAGGACTCCATAAAAAGGCAATAAAGCTATGAATCCTCCTAATAGGAAAAAAAGCAAATGGACATACACAAAGAACTGCCTAGTTTATCAACACCAAAAGGTCCATATAGTGGTCTCTGAACCCCTGGCTAGGTGTGCTGCTTACTGGGGCTGGCTCATGGCTGAACAACTGTGCCTGGTGTTCCAGAGCCCAAGAGTGGATGGCAAAGGCACAGATTTAAGCCTGTCCTTGGGACACCCGAACCACCTCCTTGTTGGCCTGCTGAGAATGAAAAGTCCTTTCTAACTGCTAAAGAAATATTAAAGCCTAGATATAAAGGATCTCGGTGAATGTAATCAACTTTTGCTGTACCTCTTATTGCAGACACTACCTAGGGCTTGAGTGACTCCTGCTCAGAGTGGACACTTACGTAGTTATCCCGGGCAGACCAGGTCGGGTAGAGCTGAGAATGAAGCTGCCGCTCCTTCCGTGCCAACTCATAGTATTTGGCCTGCTCTTCTCGGGACAGGTTGTGCCACTGGGGAGACAGATCCCTCATGAGATCCCGGATCCCAGAGGTCCAAGCCTGCAGGCTGGGTGCCCCAATGGTGACCTGCAGGCCTTACCTTCCTCCCCAGAATCTGGTTGATGGCGGCACTCTCTTTCAGGGTGCACTCGGCCACCACCTTGGCCCGCATCTCCTTCATATACAACATGAAGGCATTCAGAGGCTTCTTCACATGGGGCTTCTTTTCTTCCTCCTTCTTCACCGTCACCGGTGATTTCCTGGGAAGTCACATGCCTGGAGGTTAACCTGGTTCTGCTGTCGTCTGAACTATCAGGCCCTGGCTTCTCACTGAGGGTGACAACTGACTGGAAGAAGAACCGTGTGGATGCTAAACTGAGTCAGCCCCCTTGCTGGCTGCATCTTCTACAAGTGATTCCTGAGCCCTGAATGATCTCAGTGTCACAGTCATTCAAAATCAACCCAGCAGCTTCCAAGGGAGAAGCAGAGGGGAGTGGGGAGAAGAGAGATGGGCTCTTCCTGGTGTGGGTACCAACTGGCCACAGACCTCTGGCCATGAAGCACTGGCCTAGACTGCCTGTTACTGTCAGGGCACAGTGGACCAAACATGGGCATGGGTATGAGTCCTAGGCCTTAGGCCTGCATCCACAGGATGTGGCTGGAGAGAATGCCCTCATTCCTCACCCACCATGTCATTACAGGTGGAAAAACTATACAGCTTTGAAAACCTGACTAAAACTTCCTGTAACGTGAGGAAAGATACTTGATGTCACAGGAAGGATGAAAAAGAACCAGGAGAGTAACAAGGATTAATTCGAAGGGAGAAGAAAGACATGGCAGTGGGTGGCTGCCAGGTTGACTGCTGAGTAAAGGGACACAGGCCTCCCGCCCTAAGTTAATACCACACCCTATACTCTCACATTCCAGGCTGCCGGCTACTTACGCACTCACGGCTGGGCTCAGGCTGGGGGCCGCGGGCTCCTGCTTGACAATTGGGGAGACGATGGTGGGGTGGGGGATCCCTGAGGTGGGCAGACCGGGGTGAGCGGGAGCCACCATGTGAGGGGAGAACCGGCTGGAGACAAGGCTGTGAGGACAATAACCACAGAGGGAGTCAGGCTGTTTCCTGGCAGAAGACTGAGCCTGAGGCCTGGGGAAACCTTCACAACTCTTCCCCAGCTCACACACATGCACAGGGTGCTTACATCTGTGGCTACAAGCAGGAGGAATCAAAACCAGGAGAGGAGGAGTGGTGGTGAAGGGTTGACAGGATGAAGGACAGGAGATATGGGACAGGATAGGACCAGAGAATAGAGACTAGATGGTTAGGGTGATGGGAAAGGGGGGTACAGTGAGGAGTTGATATGATACTATAAATAACAGCTTCATACAATTGAAGTTTGTAATTAAAATGTACATTTGTAATTTACAAAATGGACATAAGTGATTTCATGGAAACAAGATTATAAAAAAAGAAGAAAGATGGGGTATTATACAATGGGAAGTTAAAGGCGTATACAATGGGCAGCCATTCCTATGTCACTGAGAATACCCCTGTCAGGCACAGCAGGCACCTGAAACAGAAATTCCCATTCACTGCCTTTTCTAACATTTCAGGGGGAAAGAAGAAATGACATTAATCTACACATTTTCTTGCTTTAATACGATGGATTTAAAATGTTTCTATGACATAACGTCTCAAACCTTGAGGGGTGGTGCTCTGCAATACTCCCAGAGAGAGCCATTTGGGAAGAACATGGCTGAGAAAGCCTTCAGCAGAGGGTAGAGGAGAGTGGGTGGATGAAATGGGCCTGATCGGCAGCAATAGGACGTCACAGGAGAGTGTATCCCTGCACAGCCATGCCACAATGCCAGCCCTGGTCCCCAACTCACCTGGACATGGAGGCATTCATGGCGAGAGCAGGGTAAGGGTGCCGGAAGCCACCAGGAGGCAGGGGGTACATGGGCTGTCCTTGCCTGTGAGGGCCAGGAGCAAGGAGATCCAGTCAGAATGCTAGTGAAAGCACGCAGTGTTCGAGATGAGAGGGAGACGGGTGGGGAGAAGTAAGCAAGAAGCAGGGAAGAGGGTCGGACAGATTTCCTTACTGTGGGACGAACCAGCCGAGGGGGTGAGGGATTTGTCCAACAGCTCCAGGTGGCAGTGGATAATAGGGTGACAGCTCTGACGGGTGAGGGGGCCGGGGGATTCCTGCTCGAAAGAGAGATGTGTCAGTGTTCTTCTACCTTAACACTTAAAAAAATGTGGAAATGGATACTCCCCCACCCCTAGAATGTCCGCACCGTAGGCCCTATTGTGCACTCCCATCACTTCCAGGAGTTTTTGTGGGTCAGTCAAGGTCACATTAGGGAAAGCAGGACAAGGACAGTCGGCCTCTGCTGTGGGCAGGAGGAACATCTAGGTTCCTGTCATACAGGAGTTAGCAGCACCTAAGAGATGGGCAAGGGATCTGAAAGGCTCTAGGAACCGTGCCACGCTAAAGGAGATGGAAGACGAGGGTTCTGTTCTAAACCTTCCTCCATGTCATATGTAATGAGCAATAACCTTTATTTCTCCAGATAGGCTCTAATACATGCTCTGAGCCATAGGAACAACATGGGAATTCTATAAAGACCTTGGCTTCCAGGATAGGTTGGTCTAGGGAAAACGCAAAAGGTTTTAATTTTTAAAAGCCAACCTTACTGTCCTGTAGCTGCACTGCTGTGTATTCAGTTGGACTAACCAAATGCACACTTTGAAAAAGCCAGGCTGAGAGCAGAGGCCTTGGTTTAGGAGGAAAAGCCGTTGGCTATGCTAAGTTCAAAGTCAAGGAAAAATTAAAAGACATCTTCTCTCCCCCCCTAGCTTGGTCCACTGCTAAAGAACAACAAATTGGTACCATAGCAACACTAAAAATTTCGTGTCATATCAAAGACTTGACATACTTTTCTCATTTAAATGCCTTCAATTTTCCCCCAAAACTACAATGTAGGAGGTATCAAAAAAAGACACAGATGAAGCTGGTTATTAGACAAAGTCACAATACTATTAAGGTTGGAAGTGGGATTTGAACCTAGGACAGCCTGCTCTGGGGCTGGACGGGAAAGTTGCCGACCCTGTAGGATCCCTGCCAGGCATGTTTGGTCTAGATCAAGCAGCAGAGAACTCACCTGTCTTTGGATCAATCTCCGGAGAGAGGTGCGTGGGTGGAGAGCCAGGGGAGAAGTGGTCATTGCTGTAGGTGATGAGGGGTGTCAGTGGATGCATGTGATGTGGGTGCTGCACAACAGGAACCTTATTAGACTGAAAAAAGAAAGAGAATGTTGCCAAGGAGATAGAAAATAAAATCTGCTGTCATTGACTAAATTTGTACATGTGCTGGGCGTTTTCCACACAATATCTCATTCAGTCCTTAGGGCAGTCCTGTGAGAGAGGGAAGCAGTCCTCATGGTACAGAGGGGATCAAATGAATCCAATAGGTTATAACAACACAGCTCAACACAACTCGTCCCATACACAGCCTCCCTACAACATCCCAAACTTGTTCACTTCATGGAGGCTTAGGACTATGCTCTGTCACCTCACAAGATCCAACATATACAGCCCACACAAACTTCACAGAAGTAGTAATTCTTAAGTTCAAGTCCGTGAGAGAAGGGAACATTGAGCAGGGGGTAGGGGTGGGGGGAATGTCACAATCAGCTCTTACATCATCAGTTAGCATGCCTTGGGGTCACAAACTCTGAGGAAAAGAGAACTATGGCCCTTTTAAGCCAGTTTCTGAAAACCTGAGCCATCAAGATGCCTTTATTTTTCAGACACAGTGAGGCACAGGCCAAGTCTGGGCCTCACAGGCCCTTCACTTGGCTGGATGACTTCAGGAGGCGAGGGGCACCCAATGAGGTCAAGCCTGTTCACTGGGGCTTCAGGGGCTGGGATACCCTCTACAGTATCTGTGACAGTCATGCATGGAGAGATCAGCTGGTCCCTGGAGACAATGGGGGGTCCCACACCAGGGCCTGTTCCGGATGTCAAGCAGTATGTCTTTATGACAGTAGTCAAGTGGGAAATCATAGGCACAGGTGCCAGTTTTCAGGAATTCTGGAACTGAATGAATGAATCCACCAGGGGCAGCAACATCAGCCAGTCAAGGCTGGTGCTTAGTTATTTGCCAGGGTCTGGAAGGATGACAAGGTTCCTGGCTTGTGGGAACGGAACTCTATAGATAGTTGGGGATCCGAAACACAACTGGATGAAAGGGGCACCATTATCCTTGCCCTTGTGACTTGCTTTGGTTAAACATAAAGTGAGCAAAAGCTTTACAGCGCTTTCACTCTGTTGTATCTGCCATGTGTCTTAAGGAGAGTATGCCCCAGGCAACTGGGGCTGGAATGAGGGATGTGTAAAAGAACAGAGTAGAAAAAAGAGACTCCTTCCAGCTGAATAGCACAGAGAGTGTGAGGTTAAGTAATGTCAGTTCTTTTAAACCACTGAAATGTGTCGGAGCAGAGTACTAACTTCATGGACTGTCAAAAGAACAAACATGTCTTGGAGAAAGGTCAACCAAGGTACTCCTGAGAGGCTAGGACAGCAAGGCTTTGTCTCACATTTATTGGGCATGTTATTAAGATGTGCCAATCCTTGGAAACGAACATCATTCTTGGAAAATTAGAGGTAGTGAAAGAGAGGAAGACGCTCAACAAGACTGAATAACACAATTACTATAGCAATGAGTATAGCGGAAATGATGAGGATGGTACAGGGTAGAGCACGGTTCAGATCCATTGTTCATAGAGTTTCTATGTGTGGTAGTCAACAATGAGTACAGAACCCAACAAGTACTACCGTCCACCCTGAACTCGTGCCCCATTCTGGCTCAGCTAGGACTGTCTATACACAAGTAGGATGGCTGCTTACTTCACTTGCCCATCTCCTAGGTCAAACCTCGTCTTAGACCATTTTAAGCTAAGACATCTCAAATTCATGAATTTAAAACAAATGTCATAATCTTAAGTGGGGTTTTTTTTTTGTTTGTTTGTATGTTTGTTTTGAAAAGCCAGCACCAAAAACTCCAGAGGCATTGCATGAAAGAGATTTCATCAGGCCTACAGCCTGCATTCTCAGCACCTCCGACATCTGGTAAGGCAGTCACACTTTGGCTGCACCTTAGAATAATTTTTTAGAAAACTAAAAAAGGCCAAAGAAAACAAACTTCTAAATCAGCCCAACCCCAGACCAATTAATTCATACCCTTGGGGGATTAGATGCTAAATTCTATAGGTTCATTATCTCCATTGGCTTTGCAATCTGTTCATTTGTTCTGGCACCTAATTCAGACCAGCAACATCTCATAGCTTTGTTAATTAAACAGTATTTTAATTGTTCCTTCTGTCTCTAATCTTTTAATAAGAGTGGAAAGGAGAGGGCTAGCGTCCAGGCAGGGGTGATAGCTCAGTTACTGAGGGCTTATTTTGTATCAGGCGATGTCTTAAGCTCATTGCAATCTCTCAGAACGCTGTAAGCCAACACTCCACTGATCACTATTTAATAAATGAGGACTGATGTAAAAGAGTTTGCCTGGAGTGGTACTAATTACAATAGCTTAATGTAATAAATTAACTACAGAGTCTGATCAGTCCCCGGTGTCTTTTCCACAGCCAACTTAACCATTTATTAATTTTTACTCCCCTCTTCTTCCCATCATTGATAATGATTCTGAGTATAAGTCTTTCCTTAGTTTTTAGAACAGTGGTCTTATACCCTGTCTTTTTGTTACTGACTTATGCCACTCAGCATAATTCTACTAGATCTATCTAGGTTTCACAAGATCTTTATCATTCTTTTGTGTTACATAATTCTCCATTGTGTGAATGCACCACAGTTTCTTTAGCTATTTTTCCATTCATAAACGCTCAGGTTGTTTCCATCTGTTTGCTATTGTAAATAATGCTTCAGTGAACATGAATGCACATTTATCGAGTTGCCTCACAGCTCAATGGCTGAATCAGACAGTATTTCTACTAGCAATTTTGTAAAGAAGCACCATTTTATTTAAGTAGTTTCATCATGTTACATTCCTTCCAACACATATGGTGATTTGAACAATGCAGGGTTTCCCTGCTCTGTTCCGAGGACTGCTTCCTGGTCCAAGTATAGGTTTCACAAAAGCACAATCAAGTGTTCTGGGATTCCCATTGTCCTGAAGGTTAACTACAATTTGTTGTGATCCACAGTTAAACACCTTTGCATAAATAGTCAAAGAAATACAGAGATATCCCTCTGGTACTCTTTGCTTTCTGCTAAGATGTATCTGACAATGGGCAATAATGTCTCTAGTGTCACGGCCTCTTCTAAATCCAGCTTATATTTCTGATAATTCTCTGTCAATGTACTGTTCCGGTCATTTCTGCATAAGCTTCAGCAGGATTTTGTTTGCATGTGATAGAAGTAATACAATATGATAATTTTCACACTCTGGCAGGTCACCATTTTTTGGAATGGGAATATATATATGGGTCTTTTCCAGTCTTTGGCCAGGTAGTTGTCCTCCAGATTTCTCGGCACAACCTGGTGAGGGCAGAATTTGTTTGCTAAAACATGTCAGTTGGTATTTCCTCAATTCCTTGAGGCTTGAATTTGTTCTTTAGATCCGTCAGCTTAAGAAATGCTGAGTGAGTACGGCCCTTTTGATTTTCGGACACCAGTAATATTTAACTTTGTCTCCCTGAGCTGTCCTTTGAAATTTCTATTCACCTCCTTAACTCTTCTATTTCATCCCTTTGCTTTGGCTTCTTGGCGCTCTAGTGCAATATTCAGCGTCTCATCTGACATTCATCTTGGTCTTTTCTTCTGTCTTTGTAATGACCTTGTTCATTACTCTTGGTATCTTCCCACAGCTCATTTGGTCTTCTTCGTTCATTAGTGTTCAAGCCTCAAACCTTTTCCTGAGTTGGTTTTTAAATTCAGGTGGGATAGCCTCAAGGTAAAAATTCTGATTCCTGTGGATGTGATCTGACCATCTTAAGCTTTAATTTGAACTTGCTATGAGTAGTTGATGGTCTGTTCTGCAATCTGTACCTAGCCTAATCTTCATTGCTAATATTGAACTTCTCTAACGATGTACTCAATCTGATTCCTGTGCATACCGTCAGGTGAAGTCCATGTGTTAGTCTGTACTTATGTTTCTTATAAAAAGTGTTTGCTATGAATAACTCGTTCATTCTATTGTTCCATTCCCAGCCTCATATCTGTCACCAAGTACATATTTTCTGAATATTGATCATTCATCCTGGTTCCCAACTTTTGCATTCCAGTTACCCATTATTATTACTGCATCTTGGTTGCTGTTTGATCTATTTCTAACTGCAACAGTTAGTAGAGATAATCTCTTTCCTCTACTTTGGCTCTGGTTGTTGGTGCACAAAATTGAATGATAGTGGTATTAACAGATCTTCCTTGTATGTGTGTGGATATTCACAATAATGTATTTCAAGATCGATCTAGAGAAGGCCTTTTTAACTATAAAGTGACCCTATTTTTCCTCACCTTTTCATCTCCAGCATGGTAGATCATATATGATCCTCTGATTAAAAATGTCCCACGCCAATCCATCTCATTTCTGTAACACCTAATATGTCAATAATTATGCATTCCATTTCTTAATGATGTTCCGTTTTCCTATGTTCATGTTTCTCACATTCTAATCATGAGTTTATGCTTATAACTGTTCCCCCTCCTTTGTGTTTCCAAGTTTGGGGGCTCAGCCTCAGTTGCCATATCTGTTATTTCTCTCTCTATGAGTGCTCTACTGTCAATAGGTTTGTCGAAAGCATGTTATATTTTGGAAGTGGATGGCCAATCCTCCTTTCTAGCCGGTCTTAATTTGGATGCTTGTATCTATACCTTTTCAATCTATATGCAGAACAGATCATTCGGAAGGCTGGGCTTTATGAGTAGAAATGTAGCATCAGTATTGGAGGAAGACTCATCAACAACCTGTGTTATGGAGACAACACAACCTTGCATGCTGAAACTGAGGACGACCTGAAGCGCTTGCTGCAGAACTTCAAGGACTTTAGTCTTCAACATGGATTGAAGCTCAACATCAAGAAGACAAAAATTCTCATCACTAGGCAAATTGGCAGCAACATGATGGATGGAGAAGAGATTGAGGTTGTGAACAGATAACAGTTTGCTTGGCACCACAATCAATACTTTTGGCAGCAACAGTCAGGAAATCAAAAGGCAAATTGCATTAGGTAAATCTGCTATGAGGGACCTTTCCAGAGTACTGAGAAGCAAAGATGTCAGTCTGGAAACTAAGATCCACCTGATCCAGTTCATGGTCTTCACAATTACTTGCTATGCATCAGAGAGCTGGATAATAACAAAGGATGACAGAAGAATCGATGACTTTGAATTGTGATCCTGAAGAACAGTTTTGAAAATATCAAGAAGACGGCCAAGAAAACAAATAGGTTTGTCTTGGACAGAGTAAAACCAAGTTTCTCCTTGGAGGCTAGGTCTTTGAAGCTCTGTCTCACATACTTTGGGCATATGGCCAGGAGGGACCAATCTTTGGAGAAGGACATCATGCTTGGAAGGGTGGAGGGACAGTGCAGGAGAGGAAGACTCCAGATGAGATGGACTGATATATTAACTTGAGCAATGGGAGTAGGTGCATCGGCATCAGTCAGACAGACTCAGGACAGGGCAGTCTTCAGAGCTATTGTACATAGGGTCTTTATGAGTTGCAGGCAACTTGATGACACATAATAACAAACAGCAACCAGCACATACAAGAATTCTAGTCTCTTCACACACAGAATTTTTTTAGGCAAGTTAATTTTAAGGTTTTCTCCCATAACCGTTCCTTAATGTTTACCCTATATTAGAATAGGGTATAATAGGGTTGTCCCTCCTATAGCTGACATGGCTTAGTATTTGCATATAAACTATCCACACCCTCTTGTATACTTAAAATCAGTTCTACATGTTACATATGCTTTGACCATATGACTTGTTCCTCATCTACCGTTTTAAATCATAAGTGGTTAAATCCATGGATTCCACATCTAGAGGTCCATCCCATTGTACACAATTTACTGTAAGATGATCCATTTTGCTGCCTACAGTGGATTCTTATCAAGAGTTCATGCTGCTCCACTTTTAGACAAAATAAGAAAGCCTTGCTCTGAAACAGTGTGGGCTCATGATGTGCAGAGCACACATGTACAATGCTGGATATGCACTGGGCAGCTGGAAGTATGAGTGTAGATCTGTTTTCAGAGTTCAGGGATTTATTGTCGCTTACACAAGATATTAAGGAAGGAAAGAATCTAGAGAGAATAAAGATGTGAATGAAGGGAGCTATAGTAAGAAAACATCATGGATGCAAGTGAACTGAATGATACGAAGCAGGAAATGGTAAATATTGTCAGATGTCACACTGGAGAACTAAGTCAAGCTGCTATGGACATGAGGACAAATAAAACGGTGATGGAGGTGTTCAGTGCAGTTCTTACTGAGAAGCTGGGTGGTGAACACTGGAAACAAAACAGGCTAATATTCACAGGAGGAAGAAGGCCAGTACTAGTTTTTTTATGTTGAATTTCAAGGATGAAGTGGTTACTGCAGCAGAAAGGATGGAAAAATCAAAATACAGGTATGAGTCTGAGAAGAAACTCTATAAAGCAATGGCTTCAAGTCAGTGCTGCCTCCGAGCCCCCGTGGAGCGCAGCACTAGGCCTCCTTGTGGCTAGGAGTACATTATGAGGCAGTTCTCTGAAAGCCTTTAGGGAGAACAAGGCCCACAACCACCTAGTGTGCAGCAGAGCTCAACAGCACACCAGACAGCTGCCCCACACACGGGTCAAGAAGGGGAATAACTTCTAAAGGTGGATGGAAATTTTAATATGGAGAGCTAGGTGAACTGGACAGAGGAGAGGGCAGAAGAGCTAGTCATCTTAGGATCTGTTGGGGATAGACAGCATAGCATGGGGGGAAGCAGGCAGTGACTGGGAAGGGCAGAGGTCTGAGAAGAGCAGTCAAGTAAAGCCAGATTCCTGTAGGGTGGAAAGGCAGGTTTTGTCCTTGCTGGTTCTTACCACTAGAGGGTACCTGCATTCTCTGCTCCCATCACACACCAATGCCTTACAGTCAGTTCTGACTCCATAATACTCCAGGACAGAGTACAACTGCCAGCAGGTCTCTGAGGCTTTAAGTCTTGGTGGACAGTCACTTTTTTTTTCCTTACAAAGTAATTCTTGAGTTGGAACTGCCAAACTTTTGGTTAAGTGCCCAATGCTTGGCCCACCACACCACTAGGTAGTGTGAATGACAGTGCGAGGGGTCAGAGCCATCTGGTCTCATGACTCCTGGGTCCTGGCACTATCAGTTCCTTGTTAGGTACCACAGAGTCAACTATGATTCAAAGAGACCCATGTGACTCTATGATCAATAACCCCATGCCCATCCTGCCCATAATTGTTGCTATGCTTCAACCCACTGCTACAGGCTTTGCGTCAAGCCACCTTGTCAAGGGTCCTCCTCTTTCTGACCCTCCACTTTCTCTGGCATGTTATCTCCAAGGACTGTACCCTCCTGATCATATGCCCAAAGTATATGAGCCAACGTTTCACCATCCTCGCCTCTGAGGAGCACCCAGACGGACGTTCTCCAAGACAGGTTTGTCTGTTCTTTTGGTAGTTCACGATACCATGGTTTAACATGCTTTGCGAACACCACAATCCAAAGGTATCAACAGTTCTTTTACAATCTTCCTTATTATTCAACTTTCTTTACTTTTTTTCCTTTCCAATAATGAAAGCTATCAGAAGAATATTCTCCTGAAAATTATTTTTTTAGAAAAGAAAAAAATAAAGGGAAGGGAAATGAAACCCTCTCAGCACAGCCACAGGTGCTGTGGCAGGCACACCTCTCCACCGATGGGGACAGTCGGTCAGTCACTCTCCGAGTCAGCAGGATTGTAGTCTGGATCCTCCTCCTCATCCTCCAGCTCCAAGTCATCCATTTCTTGGAAAAAAGACTCATCGACTTCCACATTATTTCCAGCATCCTCCAAGAACTGTGTATCAGACATATCAAGATTATTATCTGTTTCAAATAGCTGTTTTCCAGTTAACTTATTTTTTCCTGCTTGTTCCTCTTCTTTCATTCATTTATTTTTAATTTCCAGGAGCACTACATCAAACTTGGCTTTCCAATATTAAGAAATTTGCAGTTGTTAATAGGAGTGCCATGTTTCTTCTGCTTCTTTTTCTTTTCTTCTTCTCTTCTAGTTTTTATCTGACCTACTATTTAATTTAATTTTTCTTGCACAGCTGACACTAAAGATCATTATCATACCAAGGTTTTCTTCGGCCTGTGATGCTAATAATTTAAAAATATCTGATATATCATCATCTGCGTATTTTTCACTATATGTAAACTTGAGTGTAGTCTGGACAGTTTAATCATTTTTTTCTAGCCTCAGATGTCACAGTAATGGTAAAAGTGGGTGGCATTTCTGAGAGTACTGTGAAGGAGTCAGGGTAGATGGACTCCAAAGCCTCCAGCTTGTTGAGCTGCTTCTCTCCATAATCTGTCATACTGACCCTTGCTGCTTTCCATGAATCACCCAGAAGCTGAGGTGGCCTATTGTTCAACTTTCATATATGGAGCAACTGAAAAATGCCATAGTTCATGCGCACCTTAGTCTTTAAACTGACATCCCTGCTGTTCAGCACTAGAGGCCCTTGACAGCAGGTTTCGCACATACACGGCCATTCTGAGTACTTGACTGTGGCTACCATGAGTGTTGACGATAGATTCATGTAACTGGAAATAGTTGACAATCAATCTTCTCTCCATCTATCATGTTGCCTATTGTTCCAGTGGCAAAGACAGTTGTCTTCTTGATATGGAACTGTAATCCACATGGAAGACACAGACACTCAGCCTCTCCTGGTGAACTGTGTGAGATCAATCCTCGTCAGGTCCACAAGATGCCACTTCATAAACTGCAAGGGCTCATGATCACCACAAAACATGTAGATTTATTGTGCCATTATAATTTCTTTTTCTATATATCTTCTTGATCCTCTACTGAGTTGTAAGCTTGCTTCTTTTTCTTTCTTTTTTTTTTTTTTAGCAAAACAAGTGTTAAAGATTTCTGAAGGCAATAAAACAGAGGCATAGCTACTGTGAGATGAGCCATGCAAATGAGTAAAAGTGAGAAAGAAGGAAGAGGAAGAAAGGACCCCTGGAAAGACATAAGCGAAACCAGACCTTAAGGCAAGCTGCCAGTGGAAAAGTAGAGGAAAGACAGGGGCCTGTAAGCTTTTAATGAACAGTAACTCATTAGGCATCTATAAAACTCATAAATCAGATGAAACATTTTATCTGGAATGTGTTTTGAACAACCCATGGTTATGGCAGTAATCTGGAATTCTTTATAAAATTCTTCCTAGATACCTTTGGTGTTTATGATAGCAAAAATGTAATCAAATTGTACCTCTTATACCTTTCACCTTAGTATTGAGTAGTTACGATGAAGCCCTCAGTTTCCTGGTCTGTAAAATGGGTGAAAGTGCCAGCTGGGGTTCCTTCTAACTGTTCATGCTATGATTCTGGAACTCTATCCACAACTGGCAAGTGCTGTTAGCTAACGGCCAGGAGCTTCTCGGGTAAGGGTTGCCTCTCACTTCAAGAAAAGCAAAGTCATGTCTAAAGAACATCTCAAAGCAGCTTTTGATTCCAGCTCTGTGCATGTCTGACCCCACTGTTCTGCAGCCTTGCAGGCCCCCAGCCACTGTCCACAAGGTTTGGCAGAGAAGCCTCAGCCCTGTGCTGTACAATGTGGCATTTCTGCTTATACAACCTGTAATGAATTCTCTCTGATAAGACCCTATAAAGAAGAGCTTCTTCACCTTCCACCTTGCAGCTCTGAGGAGGAGGGGGCACAGACGAAGCTCCCTCGACAGGAGGAACAGGAGCACCCCTCACTTCCTTAGGTGGGGAAGGAAGTGAGACAGCCACTGACTGGGGCTGGCATCTGGCCTGTCTCTCCCAGATGTGAAGAAGGCAGGTACCACAACACAGCATTTAAAGCAAGAACACTGCCATGTGTGCAGAGTGCTGAGGCAGCGAGGTGACCTTTCAGTTTGTCCTCACCATACTCACAGGAGGAACCCTGGCCAACCCTGTCAGCTCTGGGCAATGTGGACTGAGGTGGTGCTAGAGGACAATGTGGGTGAAGGGGGTTGCTGAGGCTTTAGGGGGAAAAAGACTTACCAGGTGTGCTGGGGACGGGGACCTTGCGTCCTTGACCGTGGCGCTGGAGGGGACATCAAGGAGGGGCCACTTCATCTGCAGGTACTGCACAGAGAGTAGAAGACACAGGACAGGTGGTGAGAAGAGGACACTGAGCTCCTGGCCCTGTTCTTGGCTAATTCTGAAATGACTGTTAGAGCAAAGAATACACGTTTGTCAGTGGCACCACCACAGTTCCCAATGCTTTTTTTTTAAAGATCAAACTGTTTTCTTCAAAGGTTTCAGGGGAAGAGCCAAAAATGTGGGGGAAATGACGTTCAACAATCACAGTCTGGCCAGGATCACTTGCACTTTGGAAATGCTGAAAGTTCCCCCATGATTTTGGTGGAAAACTCAAATGACAACCAAGTTGAACCTGGGAACAAGGGAAAATAATGGATATACCCAGCGCATCAACCAAAGCCTTGCAAAAACACAGTGGTGACAAGCAAGACACCCTGGCTTTATGCATGGGAGAGTGGAGTTCATTGAGAGGCAAGTGATTCTCATCTCTTATCACAGGTAATTGGAGTTCTGGAGGCTGGGTGGCAAGGAGATGCATTGCAGTCCCAAAGGCAGGCAGGTCAAATCCACCAGCTGCTTTTAGGGAAACAGATGGGCAATCCCCCATGAAATGCACTGCCTCTGAAAACTCAGTGGATGTTGGTCAGCTGTGAGTTGGTTCCAACTTGATAGCATGTATGAACAACATCACAGGTAATAAGGCATTCTGGTGCACAGTGAGCTGAGCACTGGACTCTAAACCAGAAGATTATTGGTTCAAACCCATCAATTGCTCCTACCATTAAGACTACAACTTTGGGTACCACTGGGCAGTTAGTTAATTTATTCTACAAGGTCCCTATGAATTGGAATAGATTTAATGGCAGTGGTGTCACATGATGCCACTCCCTCAAATACAGCCAGAGGGAGCTGCTGGCCTAAAGATGGTGCCTCCCTGGCAGCTCGAATGCATCAGCAGCTCTGCAGAACAAAGACGCTCAAACTCCTCCAATATGGTTTATAGCCTCCAAACACCCACTAGAGGGTCAGCTACCAGCCAGTTCCAAATCAGTGACAATGATGTAAGTTTCTGAGGATAAAGACTTTTGAGAACTAGCTGATGGATGAGTATATAAAAACCACCTGCTTGACACACTCTGGGCCTGAGTTACCATCTATCTCTTCTTAGGGATGTGGACCTCATCTCAACCTTGAAAAGATTATTCACTATGCCATCCTCTCCTATGTGTCAAAAACCAATCCCCAAATCAGTTCTCACATTCACACCCTCACTAGAGCTTTCATGCTTTAGATTCTTAGTGTGGCAGTTCAGAACTCGTGACCCTGGGCAAGCCCCTATACAATTCAGAGTCGCACAGCCCTCGCTGACTCCACAGATCCCGAGGACTGTGGACAATGTGCTTTCCATGTGCAAGACATTGGATACACGGCAGTTATTAGTTTCATAAGCAAATCATTAGTCACTCTCAGGACCATAACCACACATGTTATCTTAGTGGGGATACTGATGCTTCTGGGAAGCTATGCATGCAGTTTCTCTGTAGAATCTGAGGTTAGCATAGGAAGGAGTGGTTCCATAATACTTTATAAAACAATTAAAATTAAGTCTTTGACTCCTTCCTTGGTTACTTAATTCCAAAGAAAAAAAAATAATAATCTGGTCTTGTTCCCTGTATATAAGGTATGGAGGGGGGACTGAAAAAGGGACCTGGATTGGGCTCCCAAAAGGCTTCCATGGACAGGAACACCCACCTTCGTAAGAAGCACAGATAACAGGTAGGATGTGAGGGTCTGTGTGCACAGCCTTTCTTATCACTCGGGTCCTCAAGTTCTTAGGGACTCACTCTCCTGAGGAATGTCATCCCTACCCTGTCCCCACTGGCCCAGCTCACCTACGCTCACACCAGGTCTGTACTTCTCAGATTAATCAACTGGGGGGTTAAATGTGCTTGGCAAGTGAAAACCACTGGAGAAATACTGGCATGATTAGTCAGAACTCAGCAAATACCATTTGTGCTACATTTGTTGTTTTTCAAAGCATTTCCCCAAACAAACCATCTTAATCTTCACTACAGTCCTTTTGACACACAGGGGTTCTGATACCCCATTTACAGAGGGGCTCTGTGGTTTGTCCAATTCAAAGACAAGAGCAGAGATCTCCCAACTTCAGTCCCGCACTTCACACCACACCGTGGGCCACACAAGCTCATGGCCATCACCTTTCAGCAACCCGGCTCCCAGCCTCTTCTGTTCCTGGATGAGCTCTCACTCACACAGGACTGGCCACCAAGACACTGCATGAACACTACACCACTGCACGAATGGCTCAGGGTCTACACACATCAGTGCTTTCCTGAAGGTCAGCTCACAGTGGATCTCAACTTCTACAGAACCACCAACACACTCAACATTTGATTGCTTTTAAAAGTGTAACTACAATAGCGAAGATCAGGTGCTAATGAGAGGTGTCCCAAATCCACCTTCTTCCACGATAACAAATGATAACAAATGACAACAAGGTTCTGGCATCCATCAACCCCTGCAGCTCTCTGCTTGCAGTCATGAAGACTTGTGGCTGATCGCCCTCATTCTTAATTGCTTTCCAGGGATGCTCTCTGAATAGATGATTCTGAATCCTAGTTAAAGGCAATGCTCAAGTTGTCACTGTTAAATAAAACACAGTTCTGGCTAAGGAGCATGACTAACCGAAAGGGATCTCTCCCACAACGTGCTGGAAGATGGAAGAGGAAGGTAAATTGTGGACTGGACAGCTAGAGGGGCTGACTGGGCTGGGATGGAGAGGAAGGTGAGTAAGACTGCATGAGAGACAGTGGGTATATGAGGGGTCTAGTGTCCAGAGTTTCTCATTGTGTACCTGGTGACATGCCTTGTAATGGAGAGTGTCCTGTGCAGTAAAGGGTGTTTGGAAGTATCCCTGTCTAGAAACCAATAGTCTCTACCCACAGGTTGTGGCAATGCCCACCCCACTAGGAAGAATCCTTAAGGATTAGTGTATCCCAGGGAATTACTGTGCCAAAGGGAAGCCTTTTGCACTAATAACCAAAAGGCTGTGCAACCTCTGCAGTTCTAACCCGACAGTGGAGCCTCAGGATAATGATGGCATTCTCCTCATATTCAGATTTACAGCCTTGAAAACCTGCTGAGAGCTGGGCTGGGAGCTAAGGGGTTGGGAATGGATACCTATCACACTATGTGCTCCACGGGGGTTTGTCTGCCTTGACACAGAGGATACTGACATACAAACACACACACAAGAGTTCTCTGGAGGCAAAGAAGATGAGACTTCGTCTCCCATGTTTTGGGCATGTTGCTGGGAGGGGCTATTCTTGGAGAGGGATAGGATGCTCAGGAAAATGGAGGGTTGTTGAAGGAGAGAAAGACTCTCAGCCAGGTGGATAGACATGGTGACTGCTGCAATATATCAGGAAGTGTCATGATGGCACAGGACAGGACAGGGTTCAGATCTGTTGTTCATAAGGTCACTCAGGTTGTTCTTGATTGGAGGGCACCTAAAAATATTGCTTTAAAAAGGAGCTCTGGTGGACTAGTGGCAAGAAGTTGCACTGCAATCTGAAAGGTATGTGGTTAAATCCACCCACTGCTCCCATGGGTGGATTTTTACTCAACCGTACATAACAATATTGCCTTGTTTTCATTATTGGTTTTACTTTATGTTATTTTTGTTACTTTTTATTCTTTTAAACAAGAGTGTGTTTGGTTCTGGTCAGCCATTACAAACTGACAATAACATTTCTTTTAAAGCAATAGAGGGTCATGGAGACAACTTGGATTAGAGAAATTCCCGGGATTTAGCCATGGAATGCCCTGACCACAAAAGACAACGGGAAAGGGGACTGTGGCGGGTAGCAGCGCACCCTACTTAGCATCAAAGACTAGGGGGGCTGGGCAGGCGTGAGTAACATTTGCTGCTGTTGTTGTTATGTGCCACTGAGTTGCTTGGGACTCATAGCCACCCTGTGTACAACAGCTCTGAAACCTGCTCTATCCTGAGCCAACCTTGTGGTCTCTGACATACCCACCCCCCATTACCCTAGTCACTGTGTCAATCTATCTCATCGAGGGTCTTCCTCTCTTGCACTGACCCTTCACCCTCCCAAGTGTGATGTCCCTCTCCAAGGACTGAATAACAAAGGCAAATGAAAACTGCTGGTTTCTCCAAGCCCAGTGTAGGCGCCATTCAAGGCGCCACACAAGTCCAGCATGGTAGTAACCAATGTATCCAGGGTGCTGTCTTCACAAAGGGAGATACGTAGGCAATGGTCTGGGGGAGGATGCCAATGTAAAACAGCCAACCCGTATGGCCTTAAAGCAATGGGTGGCCAAGCACTAGAGATAGCTGCCACTTTGGGGGGCTTTCTGGCCAATTCCAGCATGTAAAGCTAAGGCAATGAAAGCCTAAGCAGCTATGACGCAGTGGGTTCCAGCAGACTCTACCGAGACAGGCAAGGAAGACAGACTCGACTCTACTAAGACAGGCAAGTAAGACTGGCAGGTGGATACAACTCCAAAATATGCCAATGAAAATTCTGTGATCATCACATCATGGCCCTGAAAGAAAAGGCCCACCCAAAAGACAGTAATGGTAAAGTCAGGGGTCGGAATCCACCAAACCTTCTGAGGAGAAAAATGGGCAGTGTTACCCGTTAAGATGTACCTCAGATCACCGGCGGAGGGAAGCTAGGGGCTGGTACTGCCTCGCCGCCTGTGGTCACCTAGCTTGTGCTACTGAATATGCTTCCGTGTGACTTGGAGACAGACCAGATACCAGGGTTTCCCAATCTTATTCTGTCTGGGAAATCCTTTTAGGGGGTTATATGGAACTTACCACATGGGGAAATTCTATCCCTGTGGTTCACAACTAAGGAGAGTTAGGTTGTGGTTTAGAACACGCCTTTAATTTGTAAAGAAAGGATGACTCCATTCCTATTTTTAAATTTTTTTCATTGGAACAGTTGTTCAATTCTCCCAGCATCTAACAAAATGTGGTTTCTTGTAATGGG